AATAAAACAAAATAAGCCCAGTGCCGTGACGGGGTCATTAGGTTAAGACATTTTTACCACACTCAGTGGACAGCGTCTACACGAATCACAACCTTGTGTAAAATCATAGTATAAGTAGCATAAAATGAAATAATGTTCAATGKTGTATTTGGGAAGAAAACGAAGTACGGATAACCCCAGCCTTTTGAGTTGGGATGAGTCATTTTTAATGTAGGTATCTATATTAATAACAGTAAAAATGTTAAACTTGAATTAAATTAAATAAAAATCAATGTTGCTGTAAAAAAATAAAAACGAAATGATTTAGGGCATTTAGGAGAGCACATGTACCAAGAGTGAAAACAAATTTAACCATCGCCYCTGCACCGATAGATACAATTCTTTRTAATATAATATTTTATGTATTATAATATTGTAATTACAAGTTGTGTAGTAGGTAAATACCGTAAAGTCTGATGGATCCTTCGGTTTCGCCTAGCGAGTTCTTGGATATGCACTTGTAATTGCCAAAATCCGATTGGCTCAGATCTCTGATAGTAAGTCGCATGTGAATGTGATACCTTTTCTCTGTGTCCGACGTCACGTATTTTCTGCTGGGGAACAGCATCGTTTTCGAGTCACGAAACGACCAATAGTTTATCGACTTAGGATACGCCTCCGTCTGGCAATCGATCGTCACGTCCGTGCCCGACGGAGCTCCGACCAACTGATTCGGTACCCATATCATCGGTGAGACTATAACGATACATAATAATGATTAACACGTAATTTTTTTTCTTTAATAATTCTATAGCTGAGTGGATTAAGAGAACAAAATATGATTGCAGTATTTAATGGAATTATTCTTTCGGGATAACATAGAAAACATTAATGATAGTTTGTTAGCCATATAAAGAGGTAGGYACTCTAAAGTTAYGATCAAGAATAAGACTCGCACYAGTAATTAAAAGAAATGTTATGAAAAATTAAAATTAAACAAATAAAACRTACCTATATAAATATAATTTCAAAATAACATACATTTAGTGTAATCCCGTGTCAGTGCTCTAATATCACCTACCTATGGCGTAATTATATGGACTGTTGGTTATTAAATATTAACGTTATTTTTTTCTCTTTAAAGCCATAATAATAATTTGATTAATTAACGATGTAAACAAGACCTTATTCGTGGCACGGATCTAGACCAAATCTTCCACAATTTTTTAATACTCAATTAATATAATTACAATATACACTTGATTATTTTTTTATTTTTATTTTTTTTTATGGTTAGGGCTTCGACAACTGAGGTCATTAGCCTGGGGAACTGTAGGGGAAGGAACTGTAAGGTTGTAACTCGTGGATTTTTGGCAGAATTTTGAATGGGCACCCGTGGGTTTCTGCCATGCCCGGTTGGGGGCCGGCGGCCTCTCTCTCCAGACATCGCGAAATGCCCAAAGAGCGATGCCGCCCGTGACCGAGATTCGAACCGGCGACTGCGTACGTCGCAACCGACAACTTAGTCCGCTCGGCCACTCCACCCCCACTTGATTATTAAAAGGGCGTTATACTCGCATGTGTTGTCTCTGTCTTACAAGTGCGTAACATAGAACATTTTATGCTTAGAATCACGTTTAGCTTCGTGAGCTTAAAATTTAGAGTGAATTGACCACTTATAAAAATTAAAGCTATAACATTATTATCGAAAGCTTCTTATAGGCTTCTTATTATATTTTAATCTTAAAGCGAGTTATGCGTATTTTAAAATTGTAAATTGTTTGTAAAGCTTAAAAAACTCATAACTCGCTTTAAGATTAAAATATAATAAGAAGCCTACGAGAAGCTCTTGATAATAATGTTACCTTTAATTTTTACAAGTGGTCAATTCACTTTAAAATATGTTAAACTCACAGAGCTAAACATGATCTGCTGAGCGTAAAATTTGTTATGTTAGGTACTTGTAAGACAGAGAAAACATATTATGCGGGTATAATGTCCTTTTAAGATAAAATTTTTTTCTCAATATTAGTAAAGTACTTTAATTCAAACAAATTAAACACAATTTACACGTAATTACAAAATTACAAAATTATAATCATAAATTTTATATTATCATACATCTCAGTGATTGATTGGAATAGAATCTATGAAGTTACAAAGAGAAAATAATATGTCTAGGGGCTTGGCTTCTCTGAATCTGTCCCTACCTTATTCTACCGTATGAAGCATGAGAATTATAACTATTCCCAAGTGAGGAATTATGTTTGATATAATAATATAATTATGTCCCTCCTATTATTTACCAAAAGAAATCTGTGATAGATAATAAATTGTTCACATCTTTACATATTTTGATCAAACACAGCTATTTTATGCTAAATTCAATTTTTTTTTTCATATTTTGAAAGAATTTCGTTTCCATACAATAATTATGATGTAATCATTACTAAAACAAGATCTGTATGATGCATATAGAGCGCGTACTCGTGTTACACATAAGTACCTAGGTATACTTCTTACCTTGGCGCATATTATTAAAAATAATAAATGYGGTGTATAGGTAGTGTGTGAATTTTYTGTAATAAATTTACGATGACATCATGTAAAATTTAAGTATTCCGCTAATCTGACGAATTCGATAATCTCGGCCTCGTAGTACGCCTTAGATGGGCCAGATATTATCGAGACTCTAAACCAGCTGTATCACATCGTGGAATAATATTTTGTAGCGTGCATGTGTTTCGCTATACAAACACAATCACGACGTATAATAAATAATAATATTACATTAAAATGTGATTATCACTGAGTGCTGAAAACGTTTCGTGCTTAATGATGATGACGACGACGACGACGACGATATTACCTTGCAATAATACGATAATGTATAATGAGATATAATATTCGTTGTTATTGTTATGGATGTACGATATGATATTATGCGAAATTACTAACAGTCGTGTTACATTGATGTTGGCACCTTTTTGGTCTACCACTCATTTTCCAATATTATAATATTAATCAGCTGCATTAATTGCGTGACTGATTTTGGGGGATGTTACGCCAGAATCGTTCAAATATAACGTAGGTAGCCGTTAGRTAAACATTCCGTAAGCTGTTACCTACGACCGAAAGTTAAATTTTACCTGTATTATGATGCACTCGTGTTCCGCGAAGGAAAACAAATACTGCTGTGTGTGATTTGCTTTTTTATTTGACAATAGCGTTTAATTAACCGTGTAAATAAAAGTGTTTACCCAATCTCTGCTATAATACGTGTACTGCTTATCGCAGACTTAAATTTTGTACGCCAGCAGAGTACCAATAGAATAGATTATTWGATATATTAAGTTGAACTTTATTTTTTATTTTTAAGGATTTTGACAAAGTAATATTTTAATATAAGTATTAGTAACTAATATACTATAGTAACGYGAATGTCAAGAAATAGTTAAAACCGTAATGACTTGATTAATTTTATTTTAAACAGATATTGAAATCAATATCACATGATTTCTTAAGGTGATGATCTTGGGAATAGTTGGTTATTTATACGACTGTTGTAATATAATCTGCAATTTATTAATGTAAGAGAGTTATATTGTTTTATAATGGACTGTACCTTTCTAATATTTTGTCAAAACTTAACATTAATTAGGTAGGTGCRCTAATAAAAAGATAATAGTAATATTAATGGTATACACTCTTAAATTATTGTTTTTATGAAAAATAAAATATCGGCTAATATAAATGCCATARTCTTAAGTTTAAATTTAAAGAGAATGATATATTCTTAACTATACATTAACTGTGTTTATAAAATTAATTAAAAAAATATATTTATGAATGTTGCATATGTTGATATTTTTTATTATTTTCAACTCAATATGCATATTGTGCACTATAAAAATTAAAAATTAAAGTATTTTTAAGTACTTTTTCAATAAAACTAAACATAAGTCATAGCACAGGTAATTTATATAACAAAAGAAAAATATATATACATATATATATATATATATATATATATTATATATAAATAAATAAGTACCCTTAAGACTATATAATGGTTATATGGATTTAAGTGGTTTCATAATTTGGTAAAAGAAAATAGTAAATCATTTTTATTTTCATATATAGGGACTAAAAGTTGAATACAAAAATTAAATGAACAAAAGAACAATAGAAGTATTAAATAAGCGGTTTCGTTCTTTTATTTAACTATTACTTGTTTAGATAAAGTTTCTAGAAACTTAAATTTCTGTTGTTCTAATAATATAATGTATAACGTAACATACGATAGACATACAATGGTGACTTGTAAATTATTTCAAAAACAATGTAGGTCTAATGTCAATAAATATTCTGCATTACGATTAGTAATTTGGTTTTATGCATGTCATTTAATATAATATGTACACACTGTTTGTATAATATATGGTATAATATGTGATACCTATGTATAATGTATATTGTATGTTATGTTCAAATGCATCCGATTTCCTAGCTTATGTTAATCAAACAAATATTATATCCATGAAAAAYAAGGAAGGAGTACTTAAAATAACAAATTTGTTTCAACCAACGAGAAATTGGAATATTTCTACAATATTATGTATACTATTAGGCTATAATATGGTATATTAGATAATTATTTATCACTTGTAAATAACGATTATTTGATTTTATAAATAATTACAATTGATTTACATAGACAATATTTTAAGCATGCATTTTATTGTATTCCTTACAGGTAATTTCAAGTTAATACATGCTGAACGTGTAATATATTATAATATATTATAAATCAATATGATAGATTCTGTTTATTAAGAACCGTAAGATTATATTTAGATTAACTTAATATTTTTAGTCTCCAGTTATAATATATATATATATATGTATATTTTTGGCAATAGTTTTTAATTTTTTTATTTATGGGTACATACGTATTATATTTACTGTTCAATATTTTTTCGGTAATAATATACAYCATAATGAATATTTAAATGTGTATTCGTACATTACAAAGTACGAACCTATCGTTTACATTATTATATAATATCAATGATTTCGTTTTTAATATATGTATGGTGAGATATAACGTTTTCTAGTATTTAGCTACACGGAAAAAATGAAAAAACACCAGGGTCCGTATTTTATGCTCTTTTAAATATTGAAAAAGCAATTAGTTTACATAAAAATCACGTTATGACAGTTTTTTGTAGTTTTCGTATATATTTTTATGGATTATTCAGAGAAACACTTTGAACACGTCTATCATTAGATAGTTTATTAAAAAAGTTATAGCTAACGTAATTTGTAAAATTGTTTTGAAAATCTGTTCGTATAGTGCTAGATTTTGGTATTCCAACTTTTTTTGGAAAATGAAAGTTTTACCATTAATATAAAAATAAATATTACCATGAAATAAAAATTYAAATACGTTTTATGTATGTATTATCTGTATTTATACAATTTGATTGACATTTATATGGAAAACGTATTATTTTTTTTAGGTATAAATAAATGGAACGTGTGGATTAAATAAATATGATTATAATTGATTATGTTAATGTACTAAAAACATATTGTGCAAAGTCAATTTTTATGTCCAAATTTATAAAACATATCTACAAATCATAATTTAGATATCAGTAATTAATTTTACAAAACTGTGGTTAACGTGTGTGAATCACATACGATGTCCACCTTATACGTAACACGAAAATTCAACTTCTATCAGCAGTCAC